TGTCGTTTTATAACTATTGTACTTTGCAAGTAAATGCGCTTAATTACCATGTTTAATATTCCTCATCATGGAAAAATAATTTCTCTATTATAATATGAAGATTCAACTATAAAAGATAATTATCATTGTAGATAAATCTTATATTATAATTAAACCTTGAACTAAAAATGTTAAGTGCATTAATGAGTAAATGATAGCTAACAATGTTTTTCATCTATAAGTATTTGACATTCTAAACAGAAAATAAAATAATTATCGTATTCTTGATAATTACGGTGTATAAGTATACTAAAATATAAAAAAGTACACAAATAGTTCAAAAGGCATTAAAGCACTATATTTTTTTACAAGGCTTTCATAAAATTTTAATGATAAAAATAAAACAAAACTACAAAGCAAACAAAAATTAAATGATACCTGTACTAATAAATACTTTTTTAAATTATACGTTAGAGTAACTAAATCACATTAATTTAACAAATTTGTTCATATATTCATAAGATTACATATAATTTTTAACATTCTTATTAATAAGAAAATATATTCCTAATAAAACGGGTGATAATATGATATTATCATGTACTTGCGTTAAAATCACCGAAGAATTGTATGGATATTCTTTAATTGTGTCTACCAATTAATTATTGAGCTAATTTTTTTTTAAATTAAAAAAGATTTTTTTTGTGAAGAGGTCAGCGTCTTGCAAAAGTGGTATGAATAATGTAATGAAATAAAAAAAAACACATTATGNGTGGTATGAATAATGTAATGAAATAAAAAAAAACACATTATGGTAAAATTAATGCCTCCTCAGCTTCGCATTGAAGCTAAAAAATAACGAATTAAATAAATAATTTGAAATAAAATTAATCAAATCTTGTTTTAATGAATACTCAATTCTATGCATTAAAATTATTAATATAAAAATTAATTCATATGTAATTTAGAATTAATATAGAAAAAATAATATATATTATGTGTACATATATATATGTGTAAATGTATTGAATTAATTAATGATATTTAAATTATATATTAATCATATAGTACATGATTTAGTTATTAAAAGCACTGAATGTCAAACAACTTAGAAAAACATAATTCAAATTAGTATTTACTTTTGTAAATTTGAATTTTAACGATAAAATTAATTTAAGGAATTTGAGAGAAATACTGTTTAGCTATCAAATCAACTCAATTACAATAAAAATAAATCTAGACCTTTCAGAATAAAGTAAAAGAAGGCTTTNCAATTACAATAAAAATAAATCTAGACCTTTCAGAATAAAGTAAAAGAAGGCTTTAAATCTAAAAGCTTATATAAAGTGTAAAATCTAAAACTCAAAACCAACTGGAGTAATATCTGGATATGTAACGCAAGTGGGTACAGTATGTACTGGTGCATGAACTAGGTTTGTTCAGAAATTAACGGAAATTTTTAAATTCAGTGGGTTTGGAGAGACTGATTATCAAAAATTTTGTTTCATATTGTTGGTGCACATATCCCTGAAGTATGATACAATTTTCAGATGGATTCATTTTTTACTTTGTCTGTGGCAGCCGCCAAAGTTAGACGCGTTTTTATGAGCTCGGCGATTTTCGTTTGTAAAAAAAAAAATGGATTATAGGATTTGTATCAAATTTTACGTAAAAAATTAAAAAAAGTGTAACAAAGTGTGTAAAATGTTATTAAAAGCCTATAGTGAGTCTACCATGAGTAAAAAAAGTATTTATGAGTGAAATAACAGTTTTCAAGATGACGAACGCCTTAGCACTACAAAAACTGATGAAAACATGGAAAAAGTGAATTGGATGAACGATCGCCAAAATATAATGAGAGAAGTCGCTGATGATATTGAAATATTAATTAGTTCATACCATAAAAATTTTTCGTGACTTTTTTTGTACTGCCAAAAATTAAGAGAACTTTAAAAGTCCGTTGTTTTACAAGCATTGATAACATTAAAAGCGCATCTCTGAATGAGCTGAGGCTATCCTAAAGATCGAGTTTAAGAAGTGTTTTTTTTAGAAGTGTAATGAATGAACGGTTTATCAAATAAAAAAATATAAGAAAGTTTATTGAAATTTTTACAAATAAAGTTGCAAAATGTTTATTAATAAATAATAAATACTATAACATTGTTATTTTTATTATTATTTCATATAATTTTTATGAACGGTATATTTCAATTTTGAACCAAATTTTTTTTTTATTAATTTTTATCTTACACAGTTTTAAAATTGGTATTAATATATCATTAGTATATTATTAACTTCCAAATAATAAAGTTTAAACAAATAAAAACAAAATGTATTTCATATGAATTTTAATTTAAAGAATTGTAAAATTCATGTTATTCTAAAGATTTAAATTTAAATCCAAATATGTTCATAATTGATTTTTAAATAGCATACATTAGTCAGTTGAAAAGGTTTGACTAAGTTCATTAATTAAGGGTTGTAATTTTTATCAAGGCCACTTTCTAATTCATACAATGAAACAAACACTGAAAAAGGCATATTTTCGGTTTTCTATTTCTTGACCCTAATGAGGCCATATAATATTAACTAAATAACCAGAAATCAGTTTACACAAGTCATTTGCATAAAAAATAAACAAAATAACTATAATTGAGCACTTATTTATATTATTACTAGTATTTAGTTGTAAATAATTATTGTACTTCATACGTTTTTAATATATTAATTTAAACTTTTTTGTATTATTTTGTTTGTGATGGAATTTGATTCTATGTTTTTTATATAAATTTCAACTCTATTAAGCACTTAAAAAAATAAATTTAGATTATAACAAAAACTTTTCATGCAGTTAAGACTAATAAAACATACTTATTTACTTTTATGATTTGTTGGTGTTTTGTGAGATGTAATACATCAGTTTTATGACAGTGATTAAAAACACTGTTATAAAACGCCTCGATAAATATTTCAAAAAAAATTTATCATATCTTTGAAAAATTATGTTTTTTGACTAGTGTTTCATTACTCAAAGAACGTTTTTCTTTATTTAATCATATATAATATTAAACAAACTTTAATTAAAAATAATCTAGAATGATGTAAACATTCCATTATTATGCAAAATATTACAAAATCAATTATTTGTACCAAAATTTTATGATTTTTGGGTTCAATGGTTAATGACTTCTAAAAATCTTGATTAATAGTTTTTCTTATTTTATCTTATAGTTTGTTGTATTATCTTTAATTTAATGTAGGTGTAAAGAATTTAAGACTTTTGGAACATTATAAAAAATTGAAAAGTAAAAAAGTGTTAATTTTTAAGTTCCCAGGTTAACTTGGTTAGTAATCCTATTTTCAAAAAAAATATGTTATAATAAAGATATTTGTTTTAAATATTGCCGTTAAAAGTTTTATTTTAATCCCAAGCATTATTAAAATCATATCTACCAATAATATACGTCATTGTCGTTCTTAGAAACCAGCGGTTCATAGAAAATAAATCGTTGGAAGGTTTTTCTTTTTTAAATCGTACAACATTTAAATATAAATACGATATGAGGACAACTGATGTGAGCATAGATGATGTGGGAGATCGTGTCAAGTGGAAGCTTAGGATAAGGGTGGCCGACCCCAAGTAGTTGGGATTAAGACGAGGAAGAAGTAAAAGAAGAACTCCTAGCAATCGTGATTTCGGATAGTTTTTATTGTTTCATCATAAAGTACATTGTATTAGCATTAATTTAATATAGGATTAGAGAAGGTAGGTTTTAATCATCACTAACCTTGTATATATATACTAATAATGTATATAATTTAATTATTATTAAGTAATTATCATAATTAAAAAAATTTAATACATAAAAGGAATATCTACTTTCAAAAGAAATGAAAATTTCAATCATAAATCAGTTATAAACAGTGTAGACAGACTTTTCCAAAGATAAAAAAACATAAGAAACATAAGAAGAACAACTATTGAATTAGTCTGTGGTGGTATGATTGTTGTCTGAATTTATCAACTACCAACTTAATAAAATAAATCTCAATATTATCAAAAACCTAGATTCACTTAAAAATAAAATAAAATTTCTAAGAATTAAAAAAATAGTTAGTAAATTATATAAATATTTATGTGAATTCTGAATAGTTTACCTTAATATATAATTTTATTTCGTATACATTTTGTAGCCTTTGATAATCGTAGTCGGCGTGTAAACAATAAATCAAATAGAAAAAGGAAATATCGAAACATTCTAACATTAATTTTAAAAACTTTTGTTTTAGTAAAGTGAAGCATCTATAAGTAACATTTAAATTTTAATAAATATTTTTTTTGTATGACGTAAATCAGTTATTATTCATATATTTTACATATAAAGTTTAACATTTAACTGGCGATATTTACGATCTTCAGTCATTAAGTATTACATTATTTAATTAAAATTTGTATAAAATAAGGCCTGTTATTTATACCATAGCGTTAAATAGCAACTACCTAAATTGGGTTTAATTATTTTGAAATATTATATTCGTATTTTAAATATTAGTTTTTTATAATACCTCATTTAAGATTTCTTATAGTTTAAACCCCGACTGTATCACATATAACAAAGATAATTTTTTACATTTAGTCGATTTTAATTGTTTAATACTATTAATAAGCTATACTGATATAGCTTTCATACTAATGTTGTTTAAAAAAAAAATCTTATAAAGTGATTATTAGTGATATAATTTCATAATTTGGTTAATAGGAATAATTAAAGCATAAGTTGTGGAGTTTATTAGGTCTAAAATGAATAACGTAACTGTTATCTCTAGTATGATATACTATAATTACTATCACAATATAGTTATTATAATAAAACATAAAAAATATTTGTAGAATTAAAAATAAGGATAGGATAAATTCAAAGAAACAGTGAGTGCAACTACTTTACTTGCAGATGAAGAGTTTGTACATATTTTTTTTACATTTATTTATTGAATTAAATTTAAATATTATTAAAACTTACTGTTTTTAATTGTTAATCCAATATTGTAAGTTATATTTTTATTTTTCAATAAAATCGTTGCGGAAATAACGAATAAAAGCTTAATCTATAGTAAAAAACTACAACTAATTTTTAAACTAATATCGATTTAACTGTTAACGGTTGAACCAAATGGTTTGTAAATGAACTGGTTACTTCCATCGCTAGACGGATACACTGACTACCAATGTGTTAGTCACCCGTAACTGCTATTACAGTAGAGTTTAGAACTACAGCACCTTTCGAGTTTACGTCATTTCTTTTGCACTAACCTGTTAGTAAATCAGATTATTATTGTATTTTAATTCTAATTCTATAATCATTTTTATGATTCTAATTTTATTTATGATTCTAATTTTATTTATGATTTTAACACTACAGTGTTATTTTTCCATATTATCAACTCCAATTTTTACTTATTTATTTTTGCAATGATATATTTCATCTAGTACAATTTTTTTTTTTATAGAGCGCTATAAATTTTAAGGTTTTAGTGGTTAAGTTAGCAATGGTCTTACACAAAGATTTGTGAACCTCTAAATAATCATTAAAGATAAACATTTTTATACAANTGGTCTTACACAAAGATTTGTGAACCTCTAAATAATCATTAAAGATAAACATTTTTATACAATATAAAAAACATTTGTTTTATTAAAACAAAGAATCCCAAACTGTTGTAACTAAAATATTATTGAGGCAATCAAATATTTTCTTTAATTGAGTACTATAATTTTTGTAATAGGAACAACATTTTTGATCGTTAATACTAATTCATTTAAATCATTTGCATATTCATGCTGATATTTCTACAATATTCTTTAATAATTTTAAGAAAACTTTATAAAGTTAATTAAAACAGATTTCTGCTGATTAAAAAATTGTACATTTATTTGTATTAATTAATATTTTTTGTTTACAAAAAATTTTTCCGCATTTATTCTATTTCATTTAGATTTTCTATTTAGATGTTGGATAAATTAATTTTTGTAGGTAATTAAATTACAAATTACTTAATTGATAAAAAATTAAACTACTTAGAAATCACTTAATATGACAATTAACCAAGTTATATTTATTTTATGATATAAAAGTAAGTTCATAAAATAGAATTTACTTTTTTTTTTATTTAGATGTTAAATATGAAATTTATTTTAATGAAATCCACATATATCAGAAGTGATTCTAATGAGATTTGACTCAAAGACATCATAGATATTCAAAATAGGAATGGCACGAAAAAAATTTTCATTTGAGAAGCTAGGCACCATTTTTTACTCATTTTGAGCTAATAATGAGTAAAAAAGCAACAAACAATTGTATATTAGGATAGCTTTTTCAATGGAAGGGCATGTATCCCTGAGCTCGCTCTAAATACATTACTGATATCAGTATATTAATTAGATTTGATTACAAAATAAAATCATAAGAGTAAAATTACCGTAAAATTAAAACATAATTTAATTGATCATTTTTATTTTAGTTCTTATAATATTATGATACGAACCCTTGAATTAGTAGATTAAATTTAGTATTAATCAAGTCATTTCAATATTTTATTTATTAAGGTAAAGTACTAATCTAATCCTTCTACCGGTTTCGCACATTTTAAATATCTTTAGATTTATTAAAGGGAAATCCTGCGTTAAACACATCTCATGAAACAATTTCGATACAAATTGAGAGGGAGTATTTTTTTATATTTAGTATCTTGTATAAACCAATACTGCTCTTTATATAAATAAATCGAATTAAAACCCTTAAAATTAATTTTAATAAAAATAAAATGACATTTCATTTTAGTAATTAAATTACACTAAAACTTAATAAATAATTTATTTACTGTAACTTATAACTCAAGCTAAGTTACTACTCAACATTTATTCATAGTATACATATTGTTTATATTACAAGGATGTTCATTATGAATATAATAATTTTGTTGGGAAATTTTTGATATACACGTAGTTATAACCTAAATAGTTTATATTATCTATAAAATTTTAGAAAATTTATGAAAAAATATGAATATGATTAACCAAATGGGAAATGATAATTTTAAAGAAAATGCTAAACATATTGTAATTTAATGGCAATGTAATAAATAGAATTTTCTCTTCTCTAAGAAAGTAAAATGTAAAGAAAAAAAAATTGTGTAAAATTAATTCTAGATCTTTCGTATTACTCACATTTAATAGATATTATAGTGATATATAAATCTTACACTAATCTATTGTGTTCAAGGTCTTAAGGTAAAGGATAACAAGTTTTCTGTTCTTTGTTAATGTGGCCACTTATATTTTTACACAAAATGGTATACACCGGAAAAATATTAACGTCATTCTGACCAAATATTTTACAAGGTCATTTCTATGAAATAGTTTCTGAATAACCGTTACCATGATAACTAAGATGTAATTTACCTTAGTAAATAATAGTAGGCTATACTAATCAAACAGTCTGAAATGAAACTATACATTTACGAATGAAAGAACTTGTCGTAGGTCTAAAATATTTAACAATATTTTTAGCAAATATGCAATATATTATGATGGGTTAAAGTGATGCACAAGTATAATATATTACAATTCATTCGCTCACAGACTCCATAATAAATTAACTACAAATAAAAAATAATATTTCACCTAATTCGTTATGTAAACAAGGCCCTTGAATCTTGTCTACATCTGTTCTTTTTTTGTCAGTTAATCACAACAAGTGACCATCACTTTATGACGTGTCTCAAATATAAAATATAAAAGAATAAAAAACAATTTCAAAAAGATCATATAAAAATTATTTAGTTTAATTGGAGTGCTGATTTATAACTATGTAATAGAAATAAGTTTTCATTATATTATGGAGGAAACGTTTAAAGAGATACTACACATGTTCGCCTAGATCGCTGCAATCCCAAGAGTTCAAATATTAAAATTTTAAATTGGCCTTCTGAAAACTTGCTAAAATGGAAATATTAACTTTTAGAAAATAGGAACAGGATTGATTTCAAGGTAATGTAAAGTGACTAATTACGTATTACATTCATTTTCAACATTGTGAGCGTAGATTATTTGGGAGATCGTGTCAAGTGGAAGTTTAGGGTAAGAGTCGGCCTTCCCAAGTAGTTGGAATTAAGGCGAGGAAGAAAAAGATTCATTTTCAACATTTTGTTTTGGAACATTTAAAATTTTTAAACAAATTATATATAGTGTTTAAAAATACTACTCCTCATTTTTTTGTTAAAAAATAATTTTTCCATAAAAAAGTTTTACTTAGAGTAGATTTTAGAAGTAAATTACAAAAAATTTTTTTGGTTTTTTACATTTGCATGTACAATGTAAGCCAAAAAGTTCTGAATAATTAAATAACTTTCATATATTATTTTGATATATTTTTTTTACTAATTATTTACGTAATTTTATTGTAGTCTAAAAAGATTACGTTCAAAGCATATTTTTTATTATGTAGCATTATGGCTTAGAACTTATATTCTTTTCTTATTTTAATTGTTTTAAACATAATTCAGTATTATGCTTTATATATTGTATGTCCTATGTGTCATGTTGATTCTAAATATAAAATTTGAAAGTGTTTTTTTGCTCTTTCTAAAATTAAAAAAAAAAAGGCTTTATCGGTTAGTCCGTCGCTGGGGAGTGGGAGGCTGACTCCAATTATCAAACTGATCTCTCGCGTCAACCTCTGTCGCGCTACCGTTTCGGCCACGCAATCTTTCTTTATATAAAATTTAGCTATTCGTAACTATATCACAATATAGAAACATAAAAAAATACTAGATTATTCGATGCAAAAGTAAAAGTAGCATATGTTTAGACCAAATTTTTTTAATTAAAAAAAATTAATGTTATCTCAACTATTTTTAATTATAATACAAATATATAATTGATTTTTTTAATGCCAACAGAAAATTTAAAATATAGTACAATACTTGAAAGGGTTTAACTGATAATCAATAGTCTAAAAGAAATTAATTAATTCCAAATCAATCCAATCCAACACATTATATAATTTACGTTTTAAATTTTAGAAATGTCAAAAACAAATTTTTACTTTAAAAGTATTTTTTTAATGTTAATATATTTAATAAGACGTTTAAAGTATTATTTATTTATTGTGTGTATTTAATATGGATTTATAATATATTCAGCAATTATTACCAAATAAAACAATAAAATGAACAGCTAATTTATAATTTAACAAAACTTGCAAAAACTCAAAGTTAAACCAAAATATATTAACATATTTGTTTCTAATAACATACCTTCAAATATTAAAATGAAAATACAAGCAGAGATGATGGTTAAATTTAAAAACAAAATTTTTATACAGTAAGAAGAAATCTATTATTGACATAATCAACAAAATTATTAACATTATTTCATATGATAATTCACCTAATAATTAATTTAGATTTTAAATTAAACAAAGAAAGTAAATAAATGGGATAGGATTAACAACAAAATTAATTCTTAAATAATAAAAATATCTTTAACAATGCAATTATCCATAATTTGCAGAAAAATAATGATGATGGCATAAGACCGAAATAATATTAGTTTTTTTTTAATTTTGTTATACTCGTGGCTTTATTTTTATAACGAGTATAGCGGAAAAAATGGTAAAATAGCTATACAAATTAATGCAATACATTTGTAACAGGGTTCAATAAAAATGTACAATTATTACATGTTTTTATTAATTATATAGTGAATGTAAGATTAAAATTTTCAGCCTCAAAACTAATGACCTTAATTTCAAAAATTATATTTATTTATGTTTAATTTAATGAATATTATACGCCAGTCATCGAAGGAGTAATTTTGGCGAATGACGGAAAAAATTCCCAACCAAATTTTTTTTTTTTGAAAGTTGAATTAAGATATGTATAATGACATACTAAAAGTCCTCATTAATTGGAATTGAGTTCAAACATATAAGCTTTTTTAATTTTCTCAAAAAATATTTAACTTACAAAAATTATTAATTATTATTATTTGACAAATGTATCAAATAAAATTTTTTTCCATTTTCTTATTCATTTTCCTATTCTAAATTTTGATAGCATATATCTTCATCAAAAGTATAATCTTCTTATTCTTCAATCTTTATATCTATTGAATTTGTACGCTATTGACCTTTGCAATGTACTTATAAAATAGAACATTTAAGACCT